TTTAGTAATAGTCTTAATCTAAATTTAGTAAATGGTGATTAGCATTACAACATTGGTTTGTAATAATTTACCTTGCCACGTCATTTTCGTTAAGCTTTTTAACTTTTAATTACAATTCTCCAATTTTATTATTATCATATTTTATCTCTAAACTTAGTTTTTACTATAAAAATAAAAAACAATCGATTAATATTTAATAAATAAGAATATCATTTTACTCTCCCTAATTTTTATTAAATTTTAGTATTAGTAATTTCAATAATTGAATTTAATCTCTATATTTTTAAAAAAAAATTTAAATTGGGTTGTTTCATAATAATAATATAAATATTTTTTAAAATTTTAAAAAGAACACCTTTATATTTAAAAGAAACTCTCTAATAAAATTAAGCAAATATTGGTAAGCAACGGGAATAATCTTTTTTTTTCTTTTTTTATAATAACATATTCCAAAAAAATATTCTATTCATAATTTTTTTTTATTGCAATTTACAATATGAAACAAAAAAGCAGGTAGTATTTATTAATTAATTAATTTTTGGAGCATCTAACTAAAAACAGCCTAAAAGAGGGTAGAAAAAAATAAATAAAAAGAGAAAAAAAAACTATATTCCACGTAGGAGGCGGCCATTAATTCATAATAATTATTTAAGCGATTCCATTAATTTAATTTTATTTTATTTAAATGACATAACAACTCCAACTTTATTTTTTATATTTTACTTCAAACAACCGTTTAATTAATTATGTTAAATTATTAGTTTAGTAAATTTTATATTTATTTTCAAAATTATTAATCTGTGAACAATAAATTTATGATAATTTTAAAAAAATAATTTAATAATAAAGTTGCAAATGATTTTTTTAGGTGTGTTTGGGACAAAGACTATGGAAGACTTTTGGTGTTTTAATAGGCATAACCTAATGTTCACAACAAATCTAAAATCATAGGCATCATTATTCATTTCTCGACCCCTTTTCCATTCTTTCATCGGTCAATTTGGCCCACAATTTTAACTTTTATGCTTAACGTTACCGTTTTTTAGTTTCAAATTATTGATCATACTTAATAAATTCATATCAGGATTTAGAGTCTAAATTTGGCACTTAATGGTCTCGACATTCTCCTGTGACCATTGCTTCTAAGAGTTAAAACTATGTCCGATTAAATTAACGACCTTCTGTACATGAAATTATGTTTTAAATATTTATATTTTATTGTTAAATAAAAATAAACTCCCAAAAGAATTAGAAGTATAATATAATACATCAGATATTCAAATCTAAAAAGAAAAGCAAAAGCAAAAAAAGAAAAAAAAAAGAAGAGAAGAGGAAAAACGAAACAACAAAAGGAGGGATTTTCAAAGGGGCTTAAGAGTGGTCCAGTGCCAAATTTGGCGTTTGCCTTGTGAGTTAGGAACAAGAATCTAAGATCGGCGATCCCGAGGGGAGTTTGTGTTTGATTTGATCGTCACTGCCCTTTTCTTTTCTTCTACAAAGTGAGAGATGAGATCAATCACATGGGGTAAGCAATCTTCTAATCGCAATCTTCGCTGACATAAAGCTCCAATTGTTTCGTGTCTTTTTGTATCTTAAGACCCGTTTTCTCTTTCTTCTTCAAACTAATTTCGATCCTTGATAATGGTGGGGTTTTACCTCCTTTTTGGAAAATGAACGTTAAGTGTTTGATAAAATGCCCCATCCAAATATTTAGTGGATTTTTAGTTTTCCAGAAACGAACGTTAAGTGTTTGATAAAATGCCCCATCCAAATATTTAGTGGTTTTTTAGTTTTCCAGAAACGAACGTTAAGTGTTTGATAAAATGCCCCATCAAAGCGTTAACTTCATGGATATCATTGGCATCTACGCCTTTCCCTCCATGTGCAGGCTGGTGTTAGAAAGGGACTTCATTTCACCTTTCTTATTTTCTTATGGCATGAATTTGACAGCATTATCTTCAAGAAGTCCGCCAATTTTTTCGTCTCCAATCACTAGAAGGCAAAAATTGAATCTCAATATAAGGGACTTGAAAAGTTTATTCATGTTTCCCGCTTCTTTGAACTCCCACAATGAACAATGTGAGGAAGGAGAACAACCAGCAGAGTAGACCAAACCCATGGGTGTCTCAGAACTCGTCGGAGGTGAATCTCCAACTTAGAGGAACCTCTCAATCTCGCAGATATTCTCCAAGCTTGTGCGACTGTGTAGGGATGGGATCAAACGTTTCAACCTCTAGACGACCACGCTCGTCTGAGATGCTGGAATTGAAGGTACCCATCTTCTTGGATAGCTGATATTGGCTTCTCCTTACTACCACTAGCTGCATGGTTGCAAGAATTTAGCCTGTTTTATACTTGTATTCTCGTGTCAATAACAAGTCCAAGATACTTATAAACAATTTGAAACTAGTGGGTCTTTTAGAGTGATTTGGTAAACAGTAAAAGTGCTTTTGAAGCACTTCTTAAATCGATAACTTGAGCTCAAAACATTCTACAAGTGCTCTCTCCATAAGGTGCTTTTAAATTTTTCTTGAAAGCACTTTATATTCAGCATGAAAACTATAAAAGGAAAGTCTTTTTGGGTCATAGTAAAAGCACTCCTAGACATAAAGACTGATCCTGATCCTATTGTGGAACGTAGGCAGCCCAATTCTCAGATAAAGGGCTGGGAATGAGATGAGCCCAATGACCCTTTTTTCTTTTTGTCTGTGGCATTGAAGGTGGCAGAGTTAGAGAGGGAGCTGCTGAAGCAGAAAGAAATCCAGCTTATGTTTAAGAAGAGAATGGATAGAGCACAAGATTCTCTCAAATGCTTTCTTGAGAAAGCCCAGGACCATGGATTCTTGCACCTCATAATTGGGAACAGAGACAATGTGGATGGCGATGGCAGCCCAAATTGCATTCAAAGCGCCGCTTCCAGCCCTGCAGTACCCTCCCCAAGCCACCCGTTTGCAGACCTACAGCCACTCATCGAGCAGGCCAAGCTTCATGGATGGTACATCGAGCCACATGAGGTCTACATTACTTTATTTTTTGTTCTATCATGAGCCAACATTTGTTTTCTAGGGGTAGTACTTCATAGAATTACGATTCAAAATTATAAACATGATTGAAACTGTTGAAAGTAAAAGAGACTAAATTTATGAACTGAAATGAGACAGATTGAACTGAGGGAGAAGATAGGGCAAGGGACAACAGCTAACATATACAAGGCAACATGGCGGGGTCTTGACGTAGCAGTGAAATGCCTAAACCAAGACTTCTTCTGCTCGAATGAGTGCGGAGTATCTTACTTCGCACAGGAGCTAGAGACACTCTGTCGACAACGCCATCGGTTCGTGCTGCAACTGATGGGGGCATGTCTCCAGCCACCGGGTTGCGGGTGGGTCGTGACGGAGTGTTTAAGGATGACATTGCAAGAGTGGCTGCACGGGCCAGGGAAGAGGCAGAAAGAGAGGGAAATTCCTCTGCCTCCATTTCGAGAGAGGTTGTTGAAGGCACTTGAAATATCACAAGGGATGCAGTATCTTCATGAACAGAAGCCTAGAGTCATCCATCGTGATTTGAAGCCCAGCAACATTTTCTTGGACGATGCTTTGCATGTCAGAGTTGCTGATTTTGGCCATGCCCGCTTCCTCCACGACAGAGAGATGGCTCTCACCGGCGAAACAGGCAAGATTTGGTAGCTTTTTATAATAGAATTATTGTTTATAAGCTTACTTAAACAGGACTTTAATCGTTTGTTTACATGGCATTCGAAACTTATAACCTTTTGATATGTAATCATGAAGCAGGAACCTACGTTTATATGGCACCAGAGGTGATTCGATGCGAGCCTTACACAGAAAAAAGCGATGTTTATAGCTTTGGTATCATATTGAACGAACTTATAATAGGAAAATATCCTTATATTGAGATTGATTATTCTCCCTTCAAGGTATATATGTTATATACCCATTCTATATTTATCCTTATTTATTGTATTTTAGCAGTCATATTCTCAGCCCCACTTTAATTTACAACCCTTTTATTTTATAGTTTTTTTTAGTTCAGTAAATATAAGGCATAGATTTGAAACTTTGACGGTAATCATTTAAGACATTAACTAATTTCTTTTTTATTTTAGTTCAATATAAATGAGACGGTGGATTTCAATTCTCCGATCTTTTGGTCAATAATACATATTTTATGTTAGTTGAACTGTGCTCATATAATGTAATACATATTTTATGTTAGTTGAACTGTGCTCATATAACATTAAAGTTACAGAATCCTAAAGGACACATAAATACAGTTAATTCTTCTAACACTATTTTTTTTTAATAAGCCTTTATGAAACTTACTTTTTAACCTTAAAAATAACAATAAATGCATTATTCACTCTGTCATGCTCAACCTACAAACTTAGGTGCACTGATTTAAAATATCTATCTACCATTTTTATAGTTCAACCTGGGGTGATAGAGTCGAACTTCAAACCTTTTAATCGTTTAAAAATATATGATTTGAAGAATAAAAGAATGGGACATAAATGGTATGTTATGCTTTTGAGGACAGATTGCCATGGAAGTTGGAGAAGGCAAGCTGAGACCAGAGCTTCCGGTGGACGAGAATGGGGAGCTAAAAGAGCTGTTGGATCTGATATGTGCATGTTGGAATGGAAATGCTGCTGCTAGACCATCGTTTGCAACAATAACGGGTCGTTTGAGAAGTATTCAAAACTAAGCTTCAATGACAATATTTTCTTCTTCGAGTTCGGGATTCGATTATCTGATATTATGTCCAACAGTTGAGACTTTAATCATTTGTATATATTTATATTCTCAAATATGTATGATAAGATGCATGTTTCATGCTATTATTTACTTATTACAAAGTTAAAATGCATTTACTCCCTCAACTACATGTAGATCAGAAAGGACACAACAACGAATATCTAATTGTTCAAATATTCTATCTTTAAAAACTATGGCTACTTTTAAATTTTGTAATCTAGAAGATGAAGAAAACAAAGAATAAAGGTATAGCTTTGTAATGTGATCATAATTGGTTGAAAAAAGGGGCATCAGAAATCAGAATGATAGAGACAAACTAAGCTTGAATGATTAATGGGAGTTCTGCAAAGCGGGCATTCAGGTTTTTCATTGCACCATTCCATGATACAGTTCCTGTTTTTATAGAATACCCAAAACCAAATAAACATAAAGGGATCAACCTGAACCTGAATGAAGCAGATCCAAAGACAGAGAGAGTACCAGCAGAATACGTGGCCACAAGGTGTGGCAGTTGGGTGTTGGCGATTACTCAGACACAGCGTGCATTTGCTTATTCCATTGCTTGTGTTGGACTGCACACAAAAGTAAAGCCATATCTTTTCAGAATATTCTCTTCTCTGTCATTTTCTTCGACTTTCCACCTACAAACTACGGAGCCGTTCATAAGCCCACCACTAGCAGATATTATATTCTTTGAGTTTTTTCTTTCGAGCTTGTCCGATAGGGAGAGGTTTCTCCTCCCGAACTAATGTGGGATCTCACAATCCACCCCATTCAAGACTTAGCGTCCTCTATTCGTTCCCCCTCTCCAATCGTTGTGGAATATCACCATCTACCCCCTTCGGAGCCCAACGTTCTCGCTGGCACTCGTTTTCTCTAATCAATGTGGAATCTCCCATTCAACTTTCAATTTTGTGTCTAAAAAGTCTTTAGCATATTCAACGTTTTTAAAAATGGACTAATATATTAAACATAAAATGAAACTATCCACTCTAATTCTAATATTATTAAAAGTGATTTTGAAATGGTTGGAAATGCAATAAATTCCATTAACTCCACTGCTCCTTGCACCATGATGAGCTTCATACTGTATATTCTAAGCAATAATAGTAAACTTCATACGTTAATGTCATCATGCATTTATTTCCCATAAGGGTTCGATCTAATTAACCTTTTCTAAAACTTATTTATCATCTCCTCTGTTTTTCTCTGTACAAAGTACTGCAAAATGAAGAAAAAATTGAATATCTATGTCAGTGCAATTGAAATGGTACCTCAGAGTGTGAAGAATCAGAGACCCAATTTCCAGAGTCGCCATCAACCGATATTAAATTACCTTCCTCATTTAAAACAGGCGGACCACGACCTGCCATAACGAAAGTAGACGGAATTAAATAACCCATGTCCATGAAAAGTTCACGAATATATCAATTAGTTCTTATCTTCCTCTTTTTTTTTTTCTTTTTTTTTCTTGCGTAGGGTGGGATATCACAAGAGCTACAGAAACACATAAATTGTTACACAAAATTGAACACTTGCTTGGTTAACCTATAAACAACCTTTCTAAAAATTTAAGAATTTAAAGTTTTTCTTGTAATCTCCCAAATCTATTCTTGTTCCTCTTTGTAAAAATTTATGGTTCCACCCTGATAATGTATTGCTCTCTTGAGGCTTGTCCCATCAGATTGTACGACCTTTACGATGAATTTCTCCATTAACCCACCCCCACATACAAAGGGGGAAAAAATATAAGCAAAATAGTGCCATGGAAAATCAAACATACGAATATTTCAACAATAAATTGCATAACGTGAGAGCCTGGTACCTGCTGAACTAGGATGTGCTCCAAAGGATGTCGGGTTAATCGAACTTGAAACAGATGATAAACTACTACGCCTTAAGCCTTCGGCAGCGATAATGCAAAGTTGAATCAGTAGAAATACACCAAGTATTTGGTACCTAAGTCAATGTAAATTGGGAGAGAGTGAATGTTTCTGACATATCCATAATTTAAATGTCTGATGCTAAACCCAAATGACATACTTTGAAACAAGTAACAAACAAGAGACTAAAATATCTCAGATATCAATATGAACTATTTTTTTGGGGATAGTAAACTAGTTTTGGTGAAGAAATCAAAGATAATAACATAAACTTGCTACTCAAAATAAAACTCCGTTTGAAACTCAGAAACATAAATTTCAGGAGATTAAGTCAGTCTGTGTTTAACACCTGGGTCTTTGATTAGATGGTTTTCCAATGAACACATAGCGAATGCCTGCAGCTCGTTTGGATATATGATAATACAGTCCTGCAAATTAAAATTCCAATGTTAACCAATAAAATTTCCTCAAAACTGTTTACATGAACATCTAATAGTTTGAATCTCTACAACTAGGAATCACCTTCAAAATAGAAAAACATAAGGTTTGTACGAATAGCCAATTGCAAAAATTCACGAACTAGAGGTAAAACCTGTGAGGCATAAAAACAGTATAATTGTTACAATTAAAACAAAAAAGCAAGATAAATCAGATCTAAATAGTGAACTTTTAATTCTTTGATTTCATTCCTAAAACAAAAATTCTAGAGAACAAGATACAAACAATGATATAGTTAATGTATTATCTAAATAAAAAATTTAGTATATAACTCAAAACAGACAAAAACACTAAATTTTCATATCCAACATTCAAATTCCAACAACCTTAAAATACTGAAACTATGATATCCATGAGTGACATATGAAGAAAGTAAGTGTACCGAAGGCCAGCATCGAACTGTTTGCAGCCATAATCGATTAATTTTTGCTCTCAATCTCATTAGGTAAGAAGCAGACCCTGGGGTTGATGAAGGTTGGATTTCCATGGTTATTGAAGACTGAGAAGATGCATTACCTGATGCCGTCTCTCCATATTCAGCAAGCATGATGCCACGAGAAGCTACTCTAGAGCTGAAAAACATACAATTGTTGTAAGAACATCAAGTGGACCTTGCAGCATCAGAGATAACTAAAGCCAAACATAGTTACAACTGAAAATCAGGGACATTTGTGATAGCAACCTAATTCTTTCAGCAATATATGGGACTGCTGTCTGATACACAATGAAAAGAGCACGTCTTGCTGGATTTGGAGGAAGTCCATAAGGTCCAGAAACCTAGAAAATCGTTTGAAACTTAAATTTAAACATTATAAATAAAATTAAATTAAATTAACCCTGGCAGTCGTAAGTGTTGAGGATTGTTGGGAGGGGAGTCCCACATTGGCTAATTTAGGGAATGATCATAGGTTTATAAGTAAAGAGTACATCTCCATTAGTGAGGCCTTTTTGGGAAACCAAAAGTAAAGTCACACGAGCTATGCTCAAAGAAGACAAGATGATACCATTGTGGAGATTCATAATTCCTAACAGTAAGATCTTCGGGAGAACATGCTTAAAAATCAATACAAAAAAAGAATACGAATTATCATTCGCTTGAGATAAGCTAAATCAAATATTCATGCATAATTATAGGATTCAAATTTTTATCCACCTGATTGATATCACAATATTCTTCACCAAGAGTTTGCTTTCCTGACCCAGTTGTTAACACATAATACAACATCTGTCCAAGGAGATTTGTCTGCGAAGGGGAAAAAAAGTGGTGATCACAATATCCTTCTAAAATTGGCAATAAAGTTACTTGATCATCATGCAAGAGCAAGAAGAAATTAGCGAGAATTCATGATCTCTTCTGCAGTAAAATGAATTAAGAAAATAACCTTGTATAATGGACAGAGAAGTTGAATGTGCCCTACAATTTTAGAAATTGAAAGGAAACAAATCCAGAACTAACCTCACTCTGATATGCTACGGCAATCCGAGCGCCTATAATGAAGAAAAACAAAGATTCAACTAATTAAAACCAGACTAAACTCATCCTCAATTCGTAACATAGAACTATGCATCAAATGCGTTGTACGAATATAAATTTCTTCACACTAATAAACTAAATGCAGTCGTTAATTTCAATCTCTACTAGTACAAGACAAGGAGCTATCATCGACGCACTAATACAATTAGAAACTAGAATAAACGGGAGATAACCAAGTATCTGAAAACATATAATTAAGAATTGGCTTAGCCTAGACGAATAGACTAACAAATTGAAGGAAGAAATGGCAATTTCGAAGACCGCGAGCTGTAAAACATAACAATCAAATTGTAAGCGAAACAAAGAAGTAAAGGCGTGTGCATAACAGACCAAAGAGGTGGCGGAAAGCGTCGCGACAAGCTTCATAAACAAAAGAGGCGTACTGATCATCCTTCTCTGCTGCTCGCATAATCTCCGGTTGAGCTGCAAGAGGAAAACGGTGAGGTCCGGCCGGCAGGGAATGCGAGGGCCCAACTTCTGAGATGGGACCTGAGTCCCCCGATAAGGACGACTCCATTTCTGTAGCCAGAGCAAGTAAGCGGACTCGTAATGATGTCTAAGAGATCATGATTCCAGTTCCTCCTCCCGAGAGACACACTGAAACTCAGAAAACGGGAAAGCAGATTGGGTGGGAGGCAGTAGCGGGATTACCATCGGAAAACGGAAGCCAGGCCGGTGACGACGTCGTTTCGTTTGAAAAGTCTTTGAGAAAAATATTTATAAATAAAAAACGCCGTTGCCGGGGATCGAACCCGGGTCACCCGCGTGACAGGCGGGAATACTCACCACTATACTACAACGACTTGTTGTTATAAAGAAGTTACCATAAAGATCCGAAGCCAGAGCATGACGACGTCGTTTGAAAACATTCCGCCAAAATAATCCGCCGTTGCCGGGGATCGAACCCGGGTCACCCGCGTGACAGGCGGGAATACTCACCACTATACTACAACGACTTGTTGTTATAAAGAAGTTACCATAAAGATCCGAAGCCAGAGCATGACGACGTCGTTTGAAAACATTCCGCCAAAATAATCCGCCGTTGCCGGGGATCGAACCCGGGTCACCCGCGTGACAGGCGGGAATACTCACCACTATACTACAACGACTTGTTGTTATAAAGAAGTTACCATAAAGACGCGAAGCCAGAGCATGACGACGTCGTTTGAAAACATTCCGCCAAAATAATCCGCCGTTGCCGGGGATCGAACCCGGGTCACCCGCGTGACAGGCGGGAATACTCACCACTATACTACAATGACTTGTTGTTATAAAGAAGTTACCATAAAGATCCGAAGCCAGAGCATGACGACGTCGTTTGAAAACATTCCGCCAAAACAATCCGCCGTTGCCGGGGATCGAACCCGGGTCACCCGCGTGACAGGCGGGAATACTCACCACTATACTACAACGACTTGTTGTTATAAAGAAGTTACCATAAAGATCCGAAGCCAGAGCATGACGACGTCGTTTGAAAACATTCCGCCAAAATAATCCGCCGTTGCCGGGGATCGAACCCGGGTCACCCGCGTGACAGGCGGGAATACTCACCACTATACTACAACGACTTGTTGTTATAAAGAAGTTACCATAAAGATCCGAAGCCAGAGCATGACGACGTCGTTTGAAAACATTCCGCCAAAATAATCCGCAGTTGCCGGGGATCGAACCCCGGTCACCCGCATGACAGGCGGGAATACTCACCACTATACTACAACGACTTGTTATAAAGAAGTTACCATAAAGATCCGAAGCCAGAGCATGACGACGTTGTTTGAAAACATTCCGCCAAAATAATCCGCCGTTGCCGGGGATCGAACCCGGGTCACCCGCGTGACAGGCGGGAATACTCACCACTATACTACAACGACTTGTTGTTATAAAGAAGTTACCATAAAGATCCGAAGCCAGAGCATGACGACGTCGTTTGAAAACATTCCGCCAAAATATTCCGCCGTTGCCGGGGATCGACCCGGGTCACCCGCGTGACAGGCGGGAATACTCACCACTATACTACAACGACTTGTTATAAAGAACAACTTGTTATAAAGATCTTAGCATAAAGATCCGAAGCCAGAGCATGAAGACGTCGTTTGAAAACATTCCGCCAAAATAATCCGCCGTTGCCAGGGATCGAACCCGGGTCACCCGCGTGACAGGCAGGAATACTCACCACTATACTACAACAACCTGTTGTTATAAAGAAGTTACCATAAAGATCTGAACCCAGTGCATAACGACGTCGTTTGAAAACATTCCACCAAAATAATATGCCATTGCCGAGGATCAAACCCGGGTCACCCGCATGACAGGCAGGAATACTCACCACTATATGACAACGACTTGTTGATATAACAAAGTTACCATCAAAAAACCGAAGCTAGACCAAGACGACATCGTTTAAAAAATATTCCGCAAAAATAAAATGCCGTTGGTGGGGATCAAACCCGAGTCACACACGTGACAGGCAGGAATACTCACTACTATACTACAACGACTTGTTGGTATAACAAAGTTACCATCAAAAAACCGAAGCTAGACCAAGACGACGTCGTTTAAAAAATATTCCGCAAAAATAAAATGCCGTTGCTGGGGATCGAACCCAAGTCACCCACGTGACAAGTGGGAATACCCTCCATTATACTACAACAACTTGTTGATATAACAAAGTTACCATCAAAAAACCGAAGCTAGACCAAGACGACGTCATTTAAAAAATATTCAGCTATAAACGCCATTGCTGGGGATCGAACCTTGGTCACCTGTGTAACGAGCGAGAATACTCACCACTATACTACGACTTTTTGACGTAACAAAGTTACCATTAAAAAATCCAAGCTAATCTGAGACGACGTCGTTTCGAAAACAATTCGCAAAAATATAAACGCAGCTGCCGGGTACCGAATCCAGGTCACGCAGTACTTACCACTATACTACAATAACTTATTTCTTTAACATTTTAGTAACGTGCTGCTTACCATTTTTAATAAATTATACCCTTTTATTTTCTACTATTTCTTAAAATGTACATATTAGTCCTCATATTTTTAATTAACTATATAGAAATATAATGTCATGTTAGTTAATAAAGGTAAATCCATGCTAAAGACGTGGACTAGTCCCTTATTTGTCGTATTGATTTGAATGTGTCGGGCAACTTTTATTTTTTTTTAATTCCAGTTTTGCCCCTAGACCGGAGTTAACTTAATATGGAAGTTTTATCGGTATTGGAATGGAAATAAGGTGTAAAAAGGGAGAGCTGTCTTTAACTGTTTGAGAAAAAAAAAGTTAACAAAAAAAAAAAAATTAATTCACTTTTTTATTTATTTTTTTAAAAAGTTTCAACTTTTATAAAGGTGTAATGCATGCCTCGGATTCTTATGTGGGATTGGCGTTACATTGCAAAAGGAAAAAGGTGTACAAATAATAAATTTATAAAAATAAAATAAAAAATAAATAAATAATTGTAAGGATATTTTCGTAAAAACAACACAAACGGACATGGAAATACTAGTTTTGGCTGTTCTCTCGTCTTTTATTCTCGATATTGTCCTCTCCCCATTTTGCCCTTTTTATATTGTACATATATTTCTATTTTTAAATCATTTATATATATCATAAAGAGTTTCCTTTTTTTAATCTCTCTCCACCTTACTTTATTGTAATTTCACCATATTATTATTCTTTTTTTAATTATATATTTTATACGAAAATTGGTTCGGGTTTGGAGGGAAAGAGTTGATTGAATATGGATAAGCGTTTTCATACAAGATCCGTGCATATTACTCTTCAAAAGAGAAAAAAAAATGTCTCGACCTATAGAATGTTTAGTGGTCAAAGTGGATTTGACCTACGTTACGTTAGACTATAACGTCTTGATGCCCAATTGAACAAATGTTCAGATTTGGTTCGAACCCGTAACAAATAGTTTAGTGCATAATATCGTTTGATCAAATTTACAGTATTTTATAAAACAAGTCAATTTAAATTACATCATAATATAAAATTCTTCACGGTCGTACTTTTTGAACCATATGTCGTCATGATCTTAACGTTCTCACGATACTTCTTAGCGTCATCTCGAGTTCTTAAAGGGTAATTATTTATGTAATAAAAGTAATTTAATTGACAAATAATTTTAGAGAAAAATAATAGTAGAAGAAATGAGTTAGAGTGACACTATCAAGTGACCTACGCCACTCACAGCCGTCCCAACACCTGCCTTTGACTTTCCATTTATTTATGTATGGAAAATCAACGGTTCGTATTGATCGACTACATCCGTTGATCTTGATTACTTTTCTTCTCCATCTCTCTAGGGCGTTTGACTTGAAATTATTTTTATTTTTTTCCATCAATCTGCTCACGTATTTGTTGTTTGAATTTTTATTTGTTGCACTTGGTTTCTCAACTCCCATGGCTCTTTTTCGTTGACTTTCTCCCCTCCCTTTGACTTTCAATAATTCAACTTAATTATAAAATAAAGTCTTTAATCCCTGAAAACTTTGATTAAAGTATTTCACTATATATATATATATTTTTTTTTTTTCATATCATAACAAATAACATATTTGATTAAAAAAAATGCTGTTCTTTTAATTAAAAATCTTAATATTTTCAAAATAAAATCTTTACAAAAACCCGAACAAATTCATCATATTTAAAAATTTATATCAAAATAATAATAAAAAAATATATTTTTAATTGAGATTTATTTTATTTTAACGATTTCGATGTCCGAGCATGCCTTCTTACAAATATATTTATGTGCAAAATGCAAATGGGCATGGTATTTACTTGTATGACAATATTTAAATTTTGTTATTAAATTAAGTGATTCCTAAAAATAATAATGATAAAAAGAAAGGGAAAAAATGGGTCCTATAAATTAATTGTTATTTTAAGGAGAGGGGACGAAAGGGGAAAATTAAATGATATTAAATAAAAATGTTTGGTCGACAAATGTAGTTGAAATGTCGTATTTGCGTTGACGTGATAATAATAAATATATAATATGATATAATATGCTTTTAAATTTATATTATAAGTAAATTGAGTGGAAAATGAAGGGCCAAAAGCCAAATTAAATTTCACGAAACACGAGTACGTGGCGCCAGTTCATTGGCCAAATCCAACTATGACGACACGACCAAAGTAAAGTATAAATCAAAAAGTTGAACTAATGTTCTATTTTTATTTATATTATATTTTTATAATCACTCAATTTAAGCCTTAATCTATTCATAAATAAGATTTAAAAGCACTTTTAAATCACCCAAATAAAACAAAACAGGACACCCATCTCTTGTAGTTACCCAATTATCTAATTACACCTCAGCACGTGATAATCTCTTGTTTCTTTTTAAATATATATTTATAATTTTTTTTTCATGCTATGTGATTCAGCTCGTGATGTAAAAACTAACAGATTTAATTATTCATCTCTTAAATTTATCAACTAGATGGTATCAGAGCCATGTTATGATTTTAACACCTTGTAAGTTATGGGTCCACCACGCTACACCACTGTCTGTTACGGAGTGGTATTTATCGAACTTTTATGTGATATTGGGACCTATAGATTATGGGCCCATCACGGTTCACTACTGTCTTACAAGAAGAGGTATTCATCTAATTCTTTTTATGAAAGACGCAATTTAACTGTGTTTATTAATATAATTTATGTATTAATTTAAAGATTAAAAGGATAAGAGTTAGGGGTGGGGGATAAATATATTAAAAAGAATTATTATTAATTAAAAGGGAGAAGAAAAAAATGTGGGAATATGGGAGTGGCAGACAGAGATGTCGATAGGACAAGAAATTCAACGAAATATTGAAGGTAAGATGAAGCCATAGAACATTAGAAATACAGTGGAATTAACCCCCAAAAAATAACAATAAATTATTAAAAATAAAAATAAATAAATAAAGCCTCAATTCTTCCTCGGGTCGCTATTTAAAGCGCCTATGTTCCTAAAACGTTACTAGTAGCAGCACAATTCATAAAATCCGAAAAGAAAGAAGAAAAAAAAAAAAAAAAATTCCCACTTCCATTATTTATAGCCCTACGCCGGCGACGATGATTGCTTACCTGGAACCGTTTATACAAGACACTGATTCCCGCCGGCCACACGACGGGTCCTCTCTGTGCGAGGCTCTAGAGCTTCAACTACAAGGCGGCGTCAGCACCGACTCACGGGACACTGGTTTAGCCGGTAAGGATTTCGGGGGACTGCATTCAATAACACCGTTGGCTTTAGTGAGACCAGCCGGCGCCGATGATGTGGCGAAGGTAGTGAAATCGGCTTTACAGTCATCTAATCTGACGGTGGCGGCGAGGGGTAACGGCCACTCAATCAACGGCCAGGCGATGGCAGATCAAGGGCTGGTTGTGGACATGCGTGCGATGGAGGATCATTTCCGTATCGTCCAGATTAATGGACTGACCTACGCCGACGTATCGGGAGGGGCATTATGGGAAGACGTCTTGAAACGCTGCGTTTCGAGTTATGGATTGGCTCCCAGGTCTTGGACTGATTACCTTAGCTTAACCGTCGGTGGGACTTTGTCGAACGGCGGCGTTAGCGGCCAGGCCTTCCGGTACGGCCCACAAATTTCCAACGTGGCTGAATTAGAAGTCGTGACTGGAAAAGGGGATATTCTAATTTGTTCCGAAAATGAAAATTCGGAATTGTTTTTTAGCGTTCTCGGCGGTTTGGGTCAGTTTGGGATCATCACAAGAGCTCGTGTTTTGCTTCAGCCAGCGCCGGATATGGTAATCCCATTATTACCACTAATTTCGTGGCTTTTTTTGGTTTAATCCCATTATTAGCTGCATGAGCTACTCGTTTACGTTACGTAATTTGGGTTTAATTAAATGGGTTTTTTAATTAGGTACGGTGGATTAGATTGGTTTACGATGAGTTCGAAACGTTCGCCGGCGATGCTGAATCCTTAGTACGGCGGCCGGAAGGCGACTCGTTTGATTACGTGGAAGGCTTCGTTTTTTCCAACAACGACGACCCATTGACCGGAAGATCCACAGTGCCGTTAGCCTCCGGTGCTATCTTCGACTCATCTCATTTACCGGAAACCGCCGGTTCGGTTCTCTACTGCCTCGAAGTCGCCGTCCACTACCGGAACAACGACCAAGTCTCAACCGTCGACACGGTAAAAAAAACAATAATAAAATCTATTAGTATTATTATAATTATATTAATGATAAAGAAATTTGTGACCGTCGGATCTTTAGACAATCTGTGGGGTCGGGTATGTAAATGCTTACAGAGGCACACACGTATAATTGTCGTAAAAAAAATGACTGGGTTTTTGACTTTAGTGAAGGTAGTGGATTTTGACCATTGGAATAGGGGTGAGTGGGCCCTTAAGGGGGATGAGGTGGAATTTTATTTTAATAATTTAATTAAAATTCCAGCGGCGGACAGTGACGAGGTCAAAGGCAGTCATAAGAGCTCTCACTCGTATAAAGCTTGGGATTTTTTATTTCTTCGTCTTAGTCATCATTATCTAAACCATAAAACGACGACCTTTCCTTTATTGATGGAGGCGTAATATTTAATTTAATATATTGTGAGGCTGTTATTTAGTTTTGGGGGGAAACAAAAAACGAAAACTGACAATACGATATTAATGTATCTTCCATTGGATTTTCTGACATCGGGCAGCTCCCATAACTGCCCAGAGTATCTATTCCTAATTACGAGGATGGCACTGTTTTTAATTCTAATGTTTATTATATTTGTGGGGGTAGGTTGGTAATTACATGCGAGAATGCGGGGTAGAATCGTAAAATGGAAGGGAAGGGAGTGTTTGGTAAAAACACTGATCATTTGAGATTTTGCTGACACAAGGGTCCCTATAAGTTTCGTACAAGTGGCCAAAAAGCCATCATTTTGTGGAATCTGTAAATGGAGTGATGTCGTTTTGCTATTAATGGAATTACGAAAATGCCCCTCCCCACGTATTTTGGTATTTTTTGGCAGGATATTGAGAGGTTGTTGAGTGGGCTTGGGTATGTGAAGGGGCTGAGATTCCAGGTGGACCTCAGCTACGTACAATTTTTGTCACGTGTGAAGCGTGCGGAGGAGGAAGCAATCGCCAACGGCGTTTGGGATGCTCCTCATCCTTGGCTTAACCTCTTCGTGTCGAAATCAGACATCGTCAATTTTGATCGTGCGGTATTCAAGACCCTCCTAAAAAATGGAGTCGGTGGGCCCATGCTCGTCTATCCTCTTCTGCGTAGCAGGTAAGTATTACCCCCCCGCCTCCCTTTATTTGTTTATTTTTAATGTTCATAAAAGAAAAGAAAAGAAAAGGATGGGGGAAATTATGTACGACGGGATCAAAGCATGCTTACTGCCACGTAAGAGTGGGGCAAATGTCCAGGCGGGATTTAGTGCTAAACGACGACGTTTCTGTGCACATGGGCCAAGAGGGAGAGGGATGGGAAATGGGGCCCAAAACGGTCACGTTTCGGCTTAAACCTTAAGTCACCTGATCCCTTCAATCTGATTTGCTGACCAAATTGCTGAACGTCTTAGGATTGGGTGGTTAAGATTTGAGGTAGGTCAAACACCTCAACACTCGCACGTGGGACTCTAGTTCTCGCACGTGTGCCATTATCTTTAAACATTCCCATTAACGTTGTTTTTTTTAATTGGATAATAATAATAATAATAGAAAAAATAGCGTACTTGTGGGACAAAGATACTGTGGGTCCCATGTTTTTGGAGTGTAAAAAAATTGAAGAATTTTTGGAAATTGACTCACCTTGTAATGGGGGTGTTTATATAAAGGACTTGCCTTTATAGGTGAGGGAGTGTAGGGAAGGGGTAAATTGGGTAATGAGAATATAACCTTTTGAGGAATATGAGATTTTCTTATTATTTTCCACCAAAATTTCCCAAATAACCCTCTCATCGGTCCATTCATATCATCTCGATCTTCTCTCTCTTTCCTCGTTGGACTTATATGTTTTGTAATTTTTAATAGGTGGGATTCTCGAACGTCGGTGACATTACCAGAAGGTGAAGTGTTCTACCTAGTGGCGTTACTACGATTCACTCCACCAAATCCGAGACCTGCATTGGTTGATAAGTTAGTGGAACAAAATCGAGAAATTGTCAATATATGTCATGTGAATTGCATCGACTTCAAGCTCTATTTGCCACACTACCATTCAGAAAAAGAGTGGAAGCTTCACTTTGGAAATCAATGGAGCAGATTCGTTGAGAGAAAAACATTGTTTGATCCAATGGCCATCCTTGCTCCACGTCAAAAGATCTTTGCTCGAGATTCCTTGATCTCGAAGCTACAATTTTTAAAACAAAAAGCTTGATATTGTTGGCTTCAAAAGCAAACTTAGCCTATCAATTTGAAAGCTCATTCTTTTGCTCAAAGATGCAAAGTGATTTGACTTGGATGACATGCTTCCTTTGTTAAAAAAAAGTTGACCCAAAGGACAAATAGTGCCATGGATTTTGTATCCAATTGAAATGTTATCGAGAGCTCATTGGCTCAAGGTGCCTATCAATGCAATTCAATGGTAGGCGCCACCATTGCCACCAATATGTGTAGGTTTTTGTCTCTTACCTTAGCTTTGTCGAGTAGAAACCTCGGTGGTTACATGTCTCGTCTTCTAAAAGTTGGTGCGTTAGGTCGGGTTCTCTGGCTTGAATTTTGATTTGGATCGCATCTCTCGTATAAACAAAAAGTAAGTGCATAAAATACTACCAAAAATTCTCGATGATTATAAACGTGCTCTCTAAATTTAAATGTCAACAGTTTCGTCTACTGGCTCACGTAGTTTAAAGTTTATAAATACCTTAAAAAAAATAGGAACTTTATGATACTCTATTCCAATTCCAAAGTTGTGGCTTCTCTTTCTTTTTTTAAACTGGGCTGAATTGTGAGGCCCATACGGTGAATTTGGGCCGAGTTTGATGTTATTGGGCTTGGGCCTAGAAGAAATCACGAAGCCCAATTTGCTAAACATGTCCTCTGTATGATATAGGTGTAAGTCCAACTAATAATAATAATAATAATTTCGATGAGATCTGAAAAAAATAATAATAATAATAAAAGTCAAATTTATTTTATTGGAAAATAAAAATTGAGAAATAGGAGGGTTTAAAATGAAATTGTCGACCATTTCGGCTACATATGTCAACGGGGCGGTGATGGGGAAGCCTTTCTCGTCCCCCCGCCACCTATTTTATTTGTAAAATTATTTATTTATTTTTTCGAAAATCAAATATCTCACTATTTATTATTCTTAAAAAAAAATAGTTTTTATTAAAAAAATTATTTAAAAAATTTACAATATAAATATCTGTAATTTGGTTTAATGGGGTGAGAGGGAGAGGGAAAGGGAAAGAAGTGTGGAATTGAATTTTTGGGCGTCGTATTTGAAAAGGATGGAGAGTGGGTCCCACTTGTCCCCTTTTTTGCCAGCCGTTGAATTGTCTAAAAAAGAAAAATAATAATAATAATAATAAATAAAGAAAAAAAAAAAAGCGGAGTGGCTTGTTCCGTAATTATTCTGTTCCTTAATCCTTTTTTGCTAATTCCTTAAATGTTCATTAATTATCACTGTCTATTTATTACCCAACACATTCTTCCCCTCCTTCCTCAATCTTGCCCCCTCCCAAATTAAATTACCTCCGTAATTATTCCTAATTTATTTATAGATATCGTTTATTTTGACCAGTTTTGCATCGCTTAGTCTCCACGCATTTAGAATGAATGTTCTGTGGAATCTCGCAATCCATCCCTAACGTCCTCGTTGGCACACTACTGGTGTTTGACTTTAATATCATTTGTAACGGTTTAAGTCCACCGTTAATAGATATTGTTCACTTTGGGCCATTACATATCAATGTCACGACAAAATATTTCTTATAAAAGTGTGGAAACCTCGTTGAGTATGTGACCATAGCTTAGTTTACGCATCTCGACTGTTTTATACGAACAATAAAACCCTACAACATGTTGCTGTTGAAAAATACAGACAATTAAGTAATCACCAAAACATTTGACCTTTCACATCCAAAATATTCAAAACTCGAGTTTTAGTGACCACTAGATCAGCCCATAGTCTTTTTTTTTTTTAAATAGAAAGAACGTTCACTTCTGAAATATATTATAATGTAACGTTTTTTAAAAACATTTATATATGTTATTGTATAAATAAATAAATAAATAAATAAATATATATATATATATATATATATATATACAAAAATTATGGAAAGAAATAAAGAAAGAAAAGTGTGTATAGGTTATAGTGTACCCCAACCTATGAGGTGTGTTTCTTAAATGGGATGCTTAAAATCAACTCACGCACACTCACTCACTCCTTTCTCCATCACTCTTGTTATGGGCCCCGCTTCTTCGTGCTCGTCTTCATCTCCGATCCGACCCATACGGCCTTTCGTTTAAAACGAGTTTGATTTGTAAATACATTTAGGTCCGTTTGAATTCTCTAAAGAATTTAAATGAATTTACATGATACCCGACTTTTTTAGTTGACCTAGCAGCACCTCGGAATAATATGAAAATTAAGATTTAATTAATTTAAAATTTAAACTGTATTAAAAAAGAAAAAATTTAAAATAATGTTTATAAATATATGGAAGTGATATGGGCAATGAAGAAATGAGTTTGACTTGGGAGAGTGGGGAAGTGGCATGGAACGCTGCTGCCTCACGCCAAACCTGTCCTTCAAACACCCAATCTTTTTCCTATTTTTAGTTCGAATTATTGGCGCGTGTTCTTCAAACTCCACGCCCCAGATTTTGTGAATCTGAACACACGCGCACACTCTAATTTTTCCCTATTTTTCCATTTTATTTATTTATTTTTTATTCGAACCCGTACGACGCCGTTTCTCGCGAAATACCCACCCCCCATGCTTTCTCTCTTTCCTTCCTTCCTTCCTTCGTTGTTGTTAAAATTTGGGATTTCTGGGATTATTACATCACCACTAGCAACAACAGAAGCATCTCTCAGGTCCGATCAGATCCATTCAAATCTCTTCTTTTCTTCTTCACTTCCTTATCTTTGTCCCCCGTTTTTCAATTCTTGTTTCCCATTTATTTTTCCCTCTTGATTTTGTGTATTTTCTGTTTTGATTTGCCGCCCAATTCTCGGGGTGTTGTTTATCCTTGGTGGGGGGGGTTCGTTTTGATCTTTCTAGGGTTTTCACTGCCTCTGGGCTTTGTTTGTTTCGGTTAATTTTGAAATTGTTTGGTTTGAGGGGGACTGGATACTTGGAAATGTGTGGGATCGTGAGTTAGGGTTCGTGTCAATACCTTGCCTTTGCGTCCAAGTGTATGACGAATTGGTGCTGCTTGTGCTTCACCGTTCCAGAAGAAGACGAAAGGGAAGAGGAACTGAAGAAGGAAGGTGAAATGAAACCCATGATGAGTGAGGGGGATTTTGAGAACCAGGATGACTCTGATCGCATTATGCGAAATGGCGATGATTCTGGTGGGAGTAACCCACTTGCGATTGCTGTTGACGGGCCCGACCGCCACGACGGTGATCGGCTTAGATTGTTTGAGGATATGGTCAGAGCAATGCACGATGACGGCGATGGTGGTGTTCATTGGGACCATCAGCTGCGCGGCCGTGGTGGGGCTGTCAATCCCTGGAACTTTTCTTTTGGAATTCTGCATCAGTCTGAGGGAGGAGAGAGCAGTAGCGCCTCTGCTTTGGCCTTGTCTTCTACGATGGAGACTTCTAATGAGGAACGCGATCGGGATGCCCACCATAAGCGCGCTAAAGTTCACTCCATGTTCATGTGAGTCACTAGTAGACTGCTTGTGGATATGAATTATGCTAAGGTGTCGTGACATTGGCGTTTTTTTTTTTGGTTTCCTTTTCTTCTTTTCCCCATTTTTGATAAGGGGTGTTGGGGTTTTTCTTAAATTTTATTTTTAGTGGGATTTAGGACCAGATTTTGTGGAATTTTAGGATGGATATCGTTAGCATTTTTCGATGTTATCATTTACGATTACGGGGTTCTTCGTAACATAGCTATCAACGCATGTTTTTTGTTGTTATATTTGTGCGGGCAGTCTCTGAATAATTTGCTGTTTTTGTTGTTATATTTTCACTTCTGTATATAAATCTATATCGCATAGCACTTTCTTTTCTTGAATAATTGAAGTGGAATCTATATGAAGCAATATGGTTTTATATCGACCTTATCCAACATGCATCTTTTATTGTGTATGTATTAGGCTGTTAGCAGACTATTTGTCTTGTCAATGTATTTTCCATATCTTTTCTCGATTTCAAAATAAAAAATTTGTTTTTAATCAAAAGTGAGGTATTGCTTGAAAAATCTTGGCTTTTCTCGAAGATGTCATACGGTGTGCAAAGATGATATCTCGAAGTCTCTTTCAGTTTCAAGTCTTCTGAGTGAGTCTTTACAATGCAAAAGTTTCCTTTTACATGAAGTAGAAAATTATTTATTTTTGGGAAGTTCAATCTTTGTTATTTTGCCTCTTACATGAGTTAAAAAAAATGATAAGTAAAGAAATTGGGTATGTTTATTGTTTTTGATCGTCTTATTAGTTGTTTTTTTGAAGCAACCCTTCATGTACAACGATAGTTAGGGCGTCTCAATGCACATAGGTGCTCCTAATACATGATTTATTTATATCCAGGAAATCAAAGGTGTATGAGATTTGAGTCATAACTTTTTCTCCATTTGGATAGTAAACAATATCTGAAATATTTTGTCAAATCTGTTCTTTTTAAATTGTTTTCAGGATATGCCCAAACGAGTCCTATTTTGAAGCATTGTTAACCTTGGTTATATACTTATCTCACTCATATGCAAACCTATTTTTGATCCTATTTTTTCATTACTAATTAAGAAAATGTCTTCAGTAAGGTTTATCATTGACGGATGAGCGTAATGGTAATTCAACCAGGTGGTTATAGGCT